ATAAAATTAAGAACTTAAAACTTGTATACTATTAAAATATGGATTATCAGCTACAATTTTATGTTATACTAATTGGTATCACATAAACTAAAAATAGTTTAATTGGTTGTTTGATTGGTTGTTTTGAATTTATGCACAAAGCTGCACAAAGGGCTATCTGTGCTCTGCCCACCACGGGTATCGAAACCCGGTTGTAAGTCCGCAGACATATCGCTGTACCACTGGGGGCTAAATAGTCTAAAAAAATTTTTTGAATGTAAGCCACTAAAACGTTATGACATGTGCAGTAAATGATGCCCAGACAGATAGGGTTAATTCTTTCTTATTACATCAAACTCTGCTGATATGTGTATTTTCTTTATCTTTGCTTAATATACCAAAGGTATCTTAAATCATTTTGGTTATAATAGAAACAACAATTTAACTTCCCAAGTGTTATTAGCATATGTTGAAACTAATAGATAATCATTTATTTAAAATGATATACACAACAAAGTCAACCAACTCTTTTATTGTTTGAATCAAATGATATTTAATGTTCAAATGACTTGCTTAGATAATTAACTCACCATTGTCATTGTCAATCGGTCAATCTCATGTTTGTCTTTGGTTTTATGTTGCCGGAATGGACTGTGTCTGAAAGACATAATATACATGTCAAAATTGTAATCTTTTCATTTAATATTTTCATATAATGCTACTCAAATTTCAGAAGCCAACAGAGAGTACTCATATCAAAGTCTATGGTGTACAACTAACTATCAATTCTGAGAATTCTAAAAATAATCAAGTCAACTAATAAAATATTTCTATATAAAATTTCTGCATCAACATTAGTCTTTTGAAAACTGTTACTAGATTGTAGCTAACACCTACAAACTGTCTAATTAGGAACTTCTTTAAGAAACTTTCATTACATGACTATTAAATCATACCCTTTGAGCAGTTTGTAGAGCATACAGCCAAGAGAAAACCAGTCAGCACTAGAGTCATAAGCTGTTCCTTTAGATAAGACTTCAGGAGCCATATATCCATGAGTGCCTCTGTAAAAAAAAAAAAATGAATCATTTTATACATTTAGCTCTCCTTCTGTAATTACCTCTACAAAGAGTTTAAAATTTTAGTTTTCTTTTTACTTCACAAATACTACCTTAATATGGTACACCTGCAAAAGAAATCTTGGAAGGAGATCAAGAGAGATGTTTCGTCTCTTTGAGGAGTTTTAAATCTACTTTAAAATCTAGTTTTATTTTAATATGCAAAATAATATCACAATAGTCAATCACAGTCATACCTAGTCTACAACCCATAATATACTTCCACAGTAAAAACAAAACAAAAATAGAGAATTTCCACTGAGTAATTCCATCGATTATCATCAAACGTTCATTAATTCAGCATTTGTAAATAAAAAACAACAATCATAGATTGAAAGAATAATTACAAACAGTACGTAATACTGACTTGAAATTTCAGATCTTATTAATTATTCCCAAAGGCTATATTTGAGGTCCCTTGGCTGATTTTAGGTATCCTTCTTATGGATAAATGAATAAACGAAATTCTGAGAGCTATGAAATCAGATAGACTGAGTCATATAATGTGTTTTCAAAATTTTCATTAAAAAATAAGTGAGAAATTAATGGCTTTTGAATTATGAAAACCCATGTGTCTGAATCTGTTTTGTGTTAAATGTTATGACTCTCACATATCATTACAGATTATTTGAAACAATAAATAAAATCTTAATGTTTGTATACTTTATATACAAGTTGTTTAAATGCTTAATTTGAGAAGTGAGGTAAAATTTATAATAATAAAAGCAATTACTAGCTATTCCAATAACATTAATCTCAAGCCTCAAACTTGTGAATGTGCAAGTTCTCTTTAATTTTGAGGCTCTGTTCATCATTGGCCCTTGTTAAAATCTTAAACCAATTAGAATATATATCAATGTCACATTTTTTTAAGGCACGTTCAAGTACACTGACTTAATATGGAATCTTAGGTTAGCATATTCTTTCACCTGTGTTAACAATTTTCTTTTAGTAGAATCAATATGGCCTTGCTGACAGCAAAGACAAGTAAACTTATAAATTACAAATAATGATGACAGTAAAGCAGGAATTCAGTCCATAAATCTAAAAAAAAAACACAGATGAAAATTAGGTTTAAACACATACATTTCATATGTATCTGTGGATATGAAATTTTACTGTAATTTTTCAGCATTTCTACAAAAATAAAATTATTAATGCAAGTGAAAGAACATGCTACATACGATCCTCTATTGAGTCAAGTGTACTTGAACATACCATAGGAGAATATGTTGTTGTAGTCTATTAAAATTAGTTTAAGATCTTAGCAAGGGTCAATGAATAAAAGAGCTTGCTAATACCCAAACTAGGCTTAAAATTAATGTTATTGGAACAACTAGTAAGCTGCTTTTATTATTATAAAAGTGTAGTCGTTTTGCTACATGTATAATACATTTATAAGCAATAATGAGTGTAACCTGGATCCTGTAACACCTACGACTGAGCTTCAAGTGTACCTGAACAATTTGTTTTGTGCTGCATACACTTACAATAAATACTTTGAAGGTCCTGTACTCCATTTGTTAACCTTTCTTTTATCTCTCTCACATGAAATGACATTCATTATTCTGTGAGAATGCTGTAAGAAATGTAAGATTGACTTTTTTGTTTAATAATATATTAATAAAATGTTATTTTTTACAGAACAAATTAATTAAATATGTTGTTTGTTGAATATTCTTTTGTTGTGTCCTATTGGATATATTAAAGTTGGTTTGGTACATTCAACATTTTTTTTCCTTGATTAGTTTACACAAATCTTGTGGTAAATTAAGTTCTAATTAAAAAACTGTTACAAATCTGTGCAAGTGCACAGATTTAAAAATGATGTTTTTAGAAAATACAAATAAATTTAAGGTAAACTTACACACATGCATGAGGCTTTTTCTTAGAAAAATCACAAGCTAACCCCAGATCAGATATCCTGACATGGCCATTCTCATCCAGTAAGATGTTTGCTGGCTGGAAAACATGATTTAAATGTATACAAGTCAACATAAAATATATTTCAAAGTATAAATAGTATTTTGTTGTGCCAGAAATAAAAAAATATCTATTACTTAAAAGATACCCAAATAACACCTATAATACAAAAGTAAAAACAATCGATATACATGAAATAATATATTCACAGCTAAAAATTTCGACAGAATTTGCAAATACAGTCATTAAGTATTATATTAAGGTATATAAATATGATATACATGAACTGACCTTTAAGTCTCTGTAAACTACATATCTTTTATGCATGTGTTCTAGTCCCAAGATAACTTCTGCTGCATAAAACTTCATTTCTTGCTCATTAAAAACTCCGTGCTGAGATAAATGATAGTGTAGGTCTCCACCTGATTAACACAATATTCTATTTGACTTTATATCATAACTAATAAAAACAAATATTACTTTGATTCAGAAAAGCTTCAAAGTATTTTCAAATCACTTGACAAGTTTTAGACTTAACTGTTACAACTGAATAGATTGGCTCGTTATAAAATTAAATCATACCAAAAATATTCTGTGTTATACAAATAATGAAAACATTTATCCAAACCATAAAATCTTGTAACAGTTTATATTGTAGTGTGGGTTCTTTTAAGTTATTTGGTTATAGGAAGAAAAACTTAAAGTCCAGTTCACTTAACAATGATTAAAGCAATTATTTTTTCAATAGCAACTTCTAAAACTTACATGGTTTCATGCACTAATTATTTGGTGTTGTGCTTGTCATGTAGTGTGCAGAGAGTTCCTAGTCAGAGATTGTAAAACTGTTTGAAGCAAGACTAACTTCATATCCATGTTTCTACATGGAGTCTATTTTCAATATGAGCTCTTCTTGAATATCAGTATTAAAAAATTAACAAACCACCTAAACTGCATGATAAACTACTAAATTACTAACAAATTTGCTAACCCAATAATTAATCATCACTTTAGCACTAACTATATCATTCTCAATCTACTCTAGAGCAGCTTGCATTTGTATATTGCTCAAGTATTTTCCTAAACTTTAAGAACAAATTCCAGAAGTTGAGCTATGCACTCATAAGATCACAACTCACTCTCACTTACATTAATATAAATATCTAAATTAAAACAACAAAGCCTACAATACTGCCACTCCCTAAATTGTAAAGTCCCTTAAACAATCCTATTACACAAATAAAACATTGGTACATGAAACTTAAATTTACATAATTAATAATAAAGTAATTCTTGTCCACTAACTATAACACTATCAATAAGTATAGACACAACAATCATTAAATTAAAGTTTGGAGACAGCTTGAATGAGTAGTAAAAGAAACTTTATTACCTACTGATGACATAAACTTGTCAAAACATTATATATTTGTAATAAAGCTTCTTTCACTGCCCATTCAAGTTATCCTGAAACTTTTAACTTGTCTGGTCACCAAATCTTTTTGGTGGTTTCTGGATTCTGGTCTGTTACAATTTATATTGGTTGTATTTATTAACATATGCTTCCCTTCTTGTTGTCAATGGAAATTCAAGCTCTGGTGTTGTACTTGTCATGTAGTGTGCAGAGTTCCTAGTCAGAGATTGTAAAACTGTTTGAAGCAAGACTAACTTCATATCCATGTTTCTACATGGAGTCTATTTTCAATATGTGCTCTTCTTGAATATCAATTACCCATACATTGTTATGCATACAGAAGTTTCTCATAGTGAGAGTGAGTTCCATCTTTCCTCTTGCTGGAGCTTAATGACCACTTGCCGTTTACATCAGTCCAACCTCTTTCATCATCTCTGAAAGCAATCCCCCCCGTCTTATTATCATATAAGGTCAAACAATGGTTACTGTGGAACCAGTGTCAATTAACATGTTGCAAAGCTTTTCATCAATGAATTAAATAATTTGTGGACTGAGTTCTTTAAATAATGAGTTTCTTATCTGAATTGCAGCAGATGGAGTATTCTTGGCTGAGCTTCAGCCCTTAACTCCAGTTAATTCCTATTTTCTGATTTCTAGTAGGTCTTTCTTGTTTGTTGAATGTGTTTGGGCTCTGACACTTATCCTCATGGTACTCCATGGTTTATCATCACCTGTTTCTATCTTCTTGACTATCTTTTTCACTGTTTCATCATTTCCTGCATATTTTTGATCTTACAACAAGCACATGTCATCATTTTGAAGTTGAGTATGTATTTTATCTTTATCAAAATAATCCCACTCATACTACAAGTGTTATAATGGTTTGTATTGTTGGTGGTTTATTTCAGATTATTTGTTAAAAAGATGAAATAATTCAAAGTCCAGGCCACTTAATGATATTGAAAGCATTTTACTTCTTCAACCACAAGTTCTAAAACTAACATGGTTTCATAAACTAATGACACACCTAAATTCATAAATAAAACTCATTTACCTGTTAATCTAAGGAAGTTCCTCATGTTTCAATTTCTTTGTTATAACACAAATTCAATATTCACAAAACTGAGCAAACCTAATGATTCCCTAACAAATAACTAACTGACTAATGAATTTTCTAACTCAATAACCAAGACTCACTAAATGAATCAAGAATCTATTTAAGTATAACTCACATTTTTATATCGCTCAAATAGTTTCCTATACTTTAGAGAAACTTCCAGACAATGACCTACATGTTCAACATGTGCTTTCAGAACTCCCTCTAGCTAACATTACTATAAACATTTAAATTAAAATAAACACGGCCTAAAGTTATATCATCTGTCGCATTAAAATGTTCAACCACAAAGAAGGATGTGGTCAATATTTACAATGTTTAGTCTTAGATGTGAGCAGCAGGATTTGGAGATATCCAAGTTTGAAAAAAAATGTTATTCCAATTTTATTATGCTACATATTTTTAAGATTAAATACAATTAAACCAATAACAAATAATGATCAACAGATGGGTCTAACCTAAGCTACTAGAATATTTGTTTTCACTGTCAAAAACAATTAAAATTTAGCTCAGTACACATAAAAAACAAATCAACACTCACCATTCATTAATTCCAGAATAAAACATAATTTGTCAGGGGTTTGAAATGCATATGTCATACACACTATGAAAGGACAGTCCTCCTAAAGCATTTTTAATAACAAGTCATTCAATATTTGAACAAAGAAAAATTTAAAAGATATAAAAAAGTAGAAAAATGAATAGACACAAAAATAAATAATATACATAACACTAAGACAGAAAACAAAAACTTCAAAAATTTATCTTACAGCCCAATGTGTCAACAGAACACTTGTAGTTTAATACAGTTTTACACAAATAATCAACATTATTTCTCTTTTTTTTTTAGTTTGAATGGCAGGTATCAAAGCATGTCTAAATATTGCTGAAAGTATTCAAGATTAACTATAAAATGTTTATTAAGGCAATTTTTCAAGGACAGGTGACACAAAATATATAAATTCGTTGTATAAAACTACCTACATTAATTAAAAATTGGAATATATAAGCCTGATGACATCCACAGTTGAAATGTCTTCACTACAGATAATCTGAGACACCACCAGATAATGACAGTATACAAGGTGTACACTGATAGAAAACACCATTTTTAACAACTTACTTAACTGCATCATCTTTTAAAAACAAAGTGCTGACTGAAACTCACCCCAGTACTGACTAGACTCAACATGATTCGTTCATTTAAAGCCAGTGTTTCTCCTTGTTTCATTTTAATCCTCTTTTTATCAAGACACTTCATAGCATACCTAAAATATTAATTTTTTTATGGTTAATTATGAATCTGTTTTAATCCCTTCTGCCGGTTAGCTTTTTTTCATGTAGCTTTGCAAAACTTTATAGCATAGAACAGTAACTAACTAATTACATTTTTAAGTCCAATTATTTCCATGTTAGGTTATTTCATTACTATGCACTTAGAAATGGAGTCAAATATAAATTTAGTTAATCATAAAACACTTTGTTAGGTAAGTAATTATACAATAAACTACATTTTCAATAGTGTAATAAAGCCAAAGTTTGTCAGCATGATACCCTTTGCATTAAAAAAATCTGATGAAACACTACCTAAGATATCTGATAATGTTTAGGCATTCCATTATCGGTAGAGGCATTATAATGTTCCAATACATCTTATGGTGTTAAATTCCATTTGGTCTGATAAGCTCTAATATGATAGTGGCCATCAACAAATAAAATATTTTAATTGATTATTTATGCAGCGTATTGATGATGAAACAATAGTGATATCCTCACCTTAGTCTTCTTTACTGATACCCTTTCAGTACAATTCTACTATCTATGTAAAGCAGTTGGTGCTTATTGTCATTTGTTTCATCAAATGAAACATTATTAGTCCCCTGTTTTTATTTTTGAAATGTACATAATTGTCAAAAATCATTTAAAATATAGATTCAAAATCTTATGAATGATACAAATAATATCTCAAGTCAGCAGCTGTTGAATTAGTAAAATATTTTAAAAAAAAGGTAAAAATCAAGATTAAAAGAAATGAAATACTGCAATGTTGCACTAAGTTAACACAGCATTTTCAGGCCTAATGATTAAAGCTGAGTGATTAACTCAATCACCTAGGAGCATTGGTTAGTTTCATGAAAAATTACAGATTAATTGAAATTATGACTATATTGATTAATATCACAAAAATAATAAACAAATCAAAATTAGTATATCCAATTATTTCTGTTTTTCAATTATTCACCCTATCGTAATAATCGAAATATGAACATCATTATTTTTTTTATTAATTCAGGTGTTTTTTAGTTTAATCAATTAGTGGGATGACTCATAAAAATAAATGTCAAATAAGCATTTTGAATTTTTGGCTCATTATGCACTGGAATATTGTTGTGTACAAAATAATGACTAATTTTATACCTGTGATAATCTTATTCTCCTCTACCCCTAACAAGTGAAGTGTATGCACTGTTAAGTTTATTGTCCCCTTGTACAGTAAAGACACACCTAAAATATACATGTTTTTGATCACTGAGATGTAATTGTGTACATTTTCTTTACCATCATGTGCTTCATCACATTCATGTAACTAACTGCATTCATTTCATATAAGATCATAAAATTAATCCTCCAAACTAAACATAAGTAGCTTATGTTAACTTGCACTTAATAGTAGTTTTAGTAGTCTTGTGAAAATTTGTAAGGAGAAACAAACGGAATGACAATAATTGTACTTTCAACTTGCTAAATGTTTCATATTACTTTGCATATATGATAGATTTTCAGTTTAAAAAGCATTATATATTCAAAAAGTAACTTAATCCTAAATTGTCATACTTGAATAAGTCTTTCAGCTTAAATGATCACTATTTCGAAAGAGTTGTTAAAACACTAAATACGTTGAAAATAGGAAGATTAGTCTCATATGAGAATAATAAGTTAGTTGAATGTAATCAATTTATGAACCTGAAAATTAATCGATTGACAAATTCCAATAATTATCTAACTCTATTAATGATACTGAGTTAACTTAATAAAACACTGCAGCATTTCAAATATTTTATCTTTTTTTTTAGATATTTTTGATTTATAGAACAGATCATCTCTTATATTTGAAATGCTTAATCTTTTGACAAAATAAATAACAATCAACCTCAAATACATTCAAGTGTATCAATAATAAGTTCCTCAGTAATGAATTATCACAAGAATTTTTTATAAACTTGGAGAAATGCCTATTAATTGACCAAAGTAGTAACAAGTTCTCCAGGTTTTAACAAACACAAACAAATGTGAGTAAGAAGCTAGAATAATGAAACATATGAAAACAAGTACAAACTTTTACATACATTTTTCCAGTATCTGCCTTTCTACAGCCATAAACTTCACCAAATCCCCCTCTACCAATTATTCTATGAACACTAAAATCATTCATGGTTAGCTGGAACACAAAAATAAATACAATTAGAAGGTTATATGATTGGAAGCATATTTTATTTAACACACTGTTTATGTATATAGTGATAAATCATAGCTCTAACATATACATATATTCAGAAATATAGAAAAAAAAAAGATGATGCAAATAATAAATAATAACCTATGTGCATGGGTGGGTGGGGGTCAAAGTGTCATACCCCAGCCTTGTTCAGAGTGCCATTCAACATGGTATTACGTGTTTGATGCCTGAGTTATCAACTTTTCATGTTATCTTACATTGCTGATTTCACAACAGTTCATGTTAGAGTAGAGAAAATACCAGATATAATACAAAGGGATACTGAAAAAAATTACATATTCATTATGAAGTTGTAGAGCTTATGCAAATACAATTTTCAAACTGTACAATGGACAAAAGTAGTTTTGTTCTTCATATGAACATCACCTTGTATTTCAACTCATCGAAGTCTGAGTCAGATTGATGTCTGTATTTCACAGACATATCTTTATTACAAAGGCTTTAGTAACACACCTGATTTTTGTGTACAACAAACTTGTACTCAACCGAAAGGTTGCCACATTTAGTGAAGATACACTTCATAAATTTGTAATTATAGTCAACTTTACTTCTCCAATAAGGGATTGGTCCATTGGACCAACCCATGCACATTCAGTTAACTTATTTAAAGTAATTCCTTAAAACTATTCAAACATAAAGAATTACTACAAACACTAAATGCATATTTTGCTTTATACGGTGGTGAAACACTAATGTTTATCTATAAACGTAAAATTAAAATATCAGAAACAACAAAACTAAGAAATTAAGATAGTTGTATTTACGTCATGTAAATATTTAGTTATAACTTTGTAAACTAACAGAAGTTGATAAATATAAAAATATTATCAAGAGTGTAACCTAGTAAAGAAAGTAGTTTTTACATAACTAAAATGAAGATTTAGTCTTAGGTTGTTCTAATAAAACAAAGAATTGTTCACAACCTATGGTACAATTTGTATATTCAACCACCTTACCCATGGCCTCCCTATAGACTGTGACTATATACATTGCAAGTGAATTGAAATGTGGTGATCTATATTCATTTACAAATTTTTGTTGTAAAGTTTAACCTGCTCTATTACTATAAAATTATGCAAGGAACAAAATTTTAGCATTTAGAAAAAATGGATATCTATAGTGTTGAACTATATTAAAAGCAAGGGAAGACGATTCTTGCAAGAAAAACAAAACTACTGTAGGTAGTAAAGAAAGTTAAACAGTTTAACACTGGAAGTCAGCCAAGAATACAATGGTTCATTATGGCTAAAGTAGGAACCTCTCTTGAAACTGTAAGCAAGATAATTGAAAAGGATTTATGTCTACAAAGGTCTTCATAATTATCATCATCCTGCCAGCAATACAACATTTCAAGCATGGTACAGAACATGTTGTGAAAGTTTTGTCCAAAGGATTTAAGGTGGTTGCAGGTTTAATACAGCTATAAGATTAAGTAAAACATTTAGAGAATCAATAAAAATACCAGGATGAACTCTACATATTATCAGCTAATAATAACTTTCAATCAGAGTAAGCCATGTACTTTGAGCAAAACTAAAAATTAATCTGGCCATCAGTATAGCTAATTAAATACATTTTTTTTCTACATTTCTACTTATTAAGATCAGAATGCATTGCTTCATCAGTTGGGTACTCTCACTGTTAACATAAGCCCACTAATATCTCGCAAATTCTGGCCAGCTTAGGAAATTTAGGTTATCTTTTAATACAATTCCAAGCTAACAGGTCATCATGGCAGTGGAAGAAGAGGCTGTGTGGCTTAGGCACTCCTTGTTGTATTGTTATCATAGTTCATGTACAACCCTCTATGTAACTTGGTAGTTTTGAAAAACTGCAATATGTTCAAAGTAGCAAATAAATGGAACTGAATTAAACTCTGCTTGATGTTCAGTACTATAGTCTGATATAACCAATGAAAAGAGTAAACCAGTAAACAAATTTAGTTTTGAGAAACTAAATATTAATGTTTATAAAAGATGCTGTTGGAATAAACAGATTAACAACAATCAGCTAGTAAAGTACAATGAAATTTGATGACAGATTCTGCTGGATAAATGAAGATTAAAATAATCAAATTAGTAAACTAGATGTTGTATGAGAGTAAACATCAATGTACAGTAATAGATTTTGAGAAAATAAAAAGGAATTATCAAAAACAAATTTTGCAAACTAAAGATATTTTTGACATTAAATAGCATGGTTCAGTAATAGAGCTACTTGATAAAAAAAATTATCAAGAACAATCACTTGTAAACTAAATAAATTGTATGAAACTAGATACTGAGGTCCAGTAACAGATTTTGCTGGAATAAGTAAAGATTAAGAACAACCAAACTAGCATAAAAATATTTTGAAATTTTGGATTTCTTAGACACTAAATAGCAAGATTCAGTAGTAGAGTCTCCTAAGTTACAAGACTATCACACACAAAGTTTCAAACTAAAAAAGCCGTACAAAACTAAACAATGAAGTCCAGCAATGCAAACTGTTGGATAAAAAAATTGAAAACAATTACACTAGGAAATATAATGGGCTATAAGAAACAACATACTGATGAGTGGTATAAGAGCCAAGTGCATTATTTAAACATCAGAAATAACCAAATACAAAACTAAAAAGGCTAAATGGAGCTTTAAAAGGATTCAACTCTAGACTGTTGAACAGAGCATGTGGGCATAAAAAAATATTAATTGCAATAAAACTATTTAGTTCAGAAGGTTATATGATGTTCACCAGCAAATATTTATATACACATTTTTCCTCTGACAGAACTAGGTACATTTTCAAAATCCAGAACAATTAAATAGCAAACTAAGCATTTTGAAGTAAGATAGCACTTTTTATCACTCTGAAGTGATTATAAAAGTCCAAAACCTTCCCAAAGGTTTAAGCATTTTCAAAGAGTGGTCTCTTCTTAACAAGAGCATAGAAAAATTAGCAAACTAAAGGAATAGTACAAAAGGTTTTAGTAGATTTATTCCTAAGTTATCACTTAATGATTTAAAAAATAAAACTAACTAAAGAATTGTTACTGATAAATATGGCTTGTTCAAAGTAATATTTCTGTGTATTGGTAATTTTTTAATCTACCAAAATGAAGTAGAAGGAAATATCAACATAATCAAAAAACTTTTCTTATGCTACTAATAATACTTACATAGGTAAACAATACGTCTGGAAAACAAACTAATGAATGTCCAAATTTATCCCTGGTGCTGTAACTTCCAAGTCTCAGCCTCTCACTTTATTATCTTGCAATTAGTCTTAAAGATTGTTTGTTTATTTCTCATAAGTGTAAAGCTACTCAATGAAATATCTGTGCTGTGTCAACTGTTGATATTGACCCCCAGATGTTAAAATTTTCCGTACTTCAAAACGTATTTCTGATAGATACCTCTCACACAGAAAGCTATCTTCCCCGTGTGTCTGCCTTAGAGATTTGCATGCCACTATCCTTTAGGCAACTCCCACCCACCCTCATAAGATTTTTTGTGAGTTGTTCTATTGTGTAGTATTGTTATTATGCATCAAAAGCCCTTCACCAATAGGAGGGTGACACAACCTCCCTGCACACTAGCTCACCCTATGCTTTTGCATTCATAATGTTCATTCTACGATGAGGCAAGAAATATGAAGTTGCACTGGAAGTGGAGAGGAAGGATGTGAAGTGTGTATAGAGGTGAGTATCTATCACAAATACATTTTCGGGTAAGGAAAATGTTATCTTCCCAGAGATACACATCTCTTCACACAGAAAGCTAGAATCCTAAATTGATATGGTGGAGGGACCTGTGAGAAAGTTACCTACATGAGCTTCCTTCAGAAATTGCCAGAATGAAACCCATCGAGTGTGACACCCAATGGCAGGGACTTCATAGGAGCACACTTGTGAGAGACCCCAACCTCATCTCTTCCACGGTAGACTCTTTGACGAGATTGGAAGATAAGAAGAGGCAAATAAGCCTCATGCGTTGCAGGTATGGGCAGAATAAAACATTAGTGTCCGAGTACTTTCACAAAAAAGATTGGAAAGCCAATATGTGTAGCATGATTTGGGCACATTCAGACCTTACTGAGTGCTCATCTCAACCCTAGCATCAGACTTCTTGGATTGACACCGGGTGCAGAAAGAGGCCAAATGAATTATTAGTTGTGATGTTCTCAACTCTACTGTCAGACTCTTGGACCAACACCAGCTACAGGAGGAGTGCACAGAATACATGCCACAGACTGTATAATGTTAGTATGTGCATTGATTCAACTGAATGGTCATCTGCTGCAGGAGGAGGGCATGATTTATTAGGAAGTGCTCACCTCAATTCGACTGAACAGGAGATGATTGCAGGTATTTGGTAGGTCAACTACAGTCCAAAACCAGGTGGAATCAGGTATGTGTCTTCTGATTCACAGTAGAAGGAGGGTCTTCACCATCTTAACCTCATGACAAGGAAGCAGATGGGAAAAGCAACTTCCATTCTGACAACTCAGGCAGGGCACATGTGTGCAGATCCAGTACACAACCAACATCAGGCCACCAAAGAACCTGACAATTGGGCAATGCAAACGTGGTGGATCAATTCTGATCCAAAATCAGACATCATCAGGAATTTTTCATCCAGTCCATGGTAGGAGAAGGACCCCTTCCAACCATTTGTGTGAGAACATGTGTTGGTTGGTCCTATGCTGATCCAACAGTAGACCACCCAGGAACTGACATTTGGGCAGTAGGATGGGGGACACTAGCATGTTATAAGTATAATTATAAGATGGATGACCTGTGGTACACTGACAGTGTCACCAATGCACACTTCCCACTAATTGGCACCATTTGTTCAGTCGTCAGCTATTAGGTCCCAATCAGTAAGGGCTCTCCACGGTCCATTTCCTTGCTTCACTCAAAGAAGGGAGGGAGGGAATTCATG